ATATCCACAGGTTATAACCTCAGATTCACATTTTTTTTTTAGATTCACTTTCTTTTTTTTATTTAAAAAAAATTTTTTTTAAATTTATGATAGTCACACAGAGAGAGAGAGACAGAGACACAGGCAGAGGGAGAAGCAGGCTCCATGCACCGGGAGCCCGACGTGGGATTCGATCTGGGGTCTCCAGGATCGCGCCCAGGGCCAAAGGCAGGCGCCAAACCACTGCGCCACCCAGGGATCCCAGATTCACAGTTTTTGAGTTGTTCATCCTCTTTGTTCTTTTTCTGATGTCCCAGTCTTAGGAAGATCATTTGCTTGGTGGTTAGTGGCTATGAACATGCATATAAAACTTTTGAGAGAATAAAACACATCAGGGAGATTATTATAATTATTTTAAGGAGGATAATTTCCAATGTTTGAAGTGTACTTTGAAGCCATAGTCCCTAGGACCCAAACCAATCAAAATCAAATAAGTTAAACAAAGACTTTATGGAAGGAGTCACCTTTTAAGCCAAGTGGCTTATTCAGTGATCTTATGTAGTTGAGTTTTAGCTTTCCCACAAGTGTTAATCTAGATATCACACGTGGTGTTAGCCACAACAGAGACACCTTGTTCAGCTAACAGATAATCAAGGACTATCTTATTATGAAGAACAACTTTGAGAGTCTAAGGATCCTTGTTGGGCAGCTGTTGTTTTAGCAAAATTTTGCAATATCTTCAAGAGTTGAGAAGTTTCTGATCATATTCTCATTTACTTTTACTCCTAATCAGGGAAGTATGACTCTGACAAAGAAAGTGAATCCTGAGTCACAAATGCCTCCTGGTAGGTTTTTTCTAACTTAATAATGTCAATCCAGGGAAACCAATCATTGAGATGTCTTATTTCACTTGTGAGAAATTAGGGACACAGTTAGAAACCCTAAGAGGCATCACCCAGCTACGCTATTTAGCCATTCATAGACTCAAGGGGAATGGTAATCACCACAGACAGAGGCAAACTCTGAGAAGGCACAAACCAATTCCAGTAACATGGTATTGTTAATGGACAGATAGAAAATTTGATGACAAATCCAGTAGTCTGAAAGGTGAAGGTTTCCACTCCTAGCCATGGCCTAGGAGATGTGGATGATGGTATCTTTCCAGGTCAGCACCAGAGGAAAGAAAGGGAAGAAGAAAGCATTTCATATTTAGTTAAAGTATGAAGTCTTGATCTGATGTCTTAGGAGAGAAGCAGTCTATCTCAATGTCAGCTTATTTTCCTACTCACTTTGATTTGGAAGTCTCCACTGCTTGTGTAGGACCAGATGTAGGTGGGGCCTTCTTCAGCTGTGGATGCATTTTCAAGGTTTAAGTCCCTGAAATCTGGCTGCCCTTTAAGTAGTGAAGAAGACCTGGTAAAGTCACTTCCAAGGAGATTCAAAAGGCAGTCTTTGCTCTTACCTGTTCCAAATCAGAAGGATGGAAGAAAATTGGAAGCTAAACAAAAAGTGTCTAGTCATGGGCCCCTGGGTGGCTCAGTTGGTTAAGCATCTGCCTTTGGCTCAGGTCATGATCCCAGGGTCTTGAGATCGAGCCTTGCATCAGGGGCCCGGCTTCTCCCTCTCCCTCTGCCCGTTCCTCCCCCTGCCTGTGTTCTTTATGTCAAATAAATAAATAAAATCTTTTTAAAAAAAGTCTAATCATATCTGAGTCTAGGCCCATCTCTTTAAGATATGATATTCTGAAGCACCTGGGTGACACAGTCATTTAAGCATCTGCCTTTGGCTCAGGTCATGATCCTGGAGCGGGAGGGGGGGGTTCCTGCTCAGCAGGGAGTCTCTTTCTCTCTCTCCCTCTGTCCCCGGCTTATGCTCTCTCTCTCTCTCTCTCAAATAAATGAATAAAAATCTTTAAAAAAATAGGATATTCCAGTCAAAGCTTTGGTAATACAACCAGTCTTTCTACTTGTGTCCTGTTAAAAGGAGAACAGATTTTCACTGAATTTATGTAAATGACTATTTTGTCATAAAAAGAATACTAAAGAGTTTTTGAACTATGGAGGGATCAGGTAGGGAGAGAAAGTAAATGTCTATGTCTTACCAAATTTTTGGTAAGTTACAAGAAAAAGAGAAGTTTTCCTAAAATATGAAAAAGCAAAATTTTAGAGAATGAGTGATGTTTTAAGCAAGAGTCATAAAAATTATAATAATCTTCTTCAGTTCATTAGTTCCATGTTATTAATTCTAATTCTTGTTCTGTTTAAATCCAGTTTTCCCACCAGTTTTGGAAATTCTTACTCAGTTCAGTTGTATGATTTGAAAGTTATCAGAAATCTGTATTCTAGAGTACTTGTCAGATTCCTTTCCATGAATTTCTCTGAAGATGAAACATTTGCTGGAAGCTTTTGTAAAGACATCTGAGTAAAGCAGTAACTGTTTGTAAATGGCTTAAAAAGGTCATGGTTAACAATAGCCGCAGACTGACATTAGTAGGTTGGACTTTAGGTACAGGGCCTGAAATCATCTGGTGAGGTTTATACTTTGTCTGGTGGGCCACTGGGGACTGCTGAAGGGGAATAACATGAATGAGGCTGGGCCTGAGAAAAATGAACCCAGCAGTGATGTGTAGAATGAACTGTAAGCTGGGAGACAGATTAGCTGGGTGAGAAGAGTGAAGGTAAAAATCCAAGGTAGAGTGTCAGGAAGAGCAGAGGAGTAAGAAATAGTAGTAGAGAATTTGTAGGATGTGGTTTCCTTTCCAACCAGGACCTAGCAGAGTGGCTCCCACAAAGAAGGACTGTTGTGCTGTCAACATGGTAGTGACCAGAGAACACACCGTCGACCTTCACAGAGTGAGTTTCAAGAAGCATCGTCTCTGGTACTCAAAGAGATCCAAAAAATTGCCATGAAGAAGATGGGAACTCCAGATGTGTGCATGGACATCAGGCTCAACAAAGCTCTCTGGGCCAAAGGAATAAGGAGGAATGTTCCATTTTGTATCTGTGTGTGTGGTTGTCCAGAAAACATAATGAGGATGGAGATTGACCAAAATAGCCCTATATGTTGGTTAACTATGTATCCGTCATCACTTTCAAAAATCTACAGACAGTTAATGTAGATGAGAACTAACCAACTGCCGACTATCAAATAAAGATATAAAATGCACAAAAAAAAAAAGAAGAAGAAGAAGAAGCTGTATGGTTTGAAAAGCAACTGAGTGTGAGTGAAGAGTGATGAAAATGGAACAGCCGAAGAATGGACAAGACTTTGGACAAGCCCAGTTCCTGGCAGAGTGGTCAGGTTGAGTAGGAGAGTCTTGGCTTATTACATTTGCTTCCATGCCTCTTTGTGGAGTTAGATACTTTCTAACTATCTACAGAGGGGAAAAGCCTGTAGAAACACTATGTATTACAATAGCGGCCTTTAAGAAAAACAAAAATACTGCAGGGGATACATGACATATAATTATAGTCGATCAATTAGGTGCAGTGGCATTGTTTTTCAATTGTTCTGAAAACAACGGGCTGGGGCACCTGGGTGGCTCAGCAGTTGAGCGTCAGCCTTCAGTTCAGGGCATGATCCCGGATCCTGGGTCCGAGGATCGAGCCCCACATCAGGCTCCCCGCAGGGAGCGCCTGCTTCTCCCTCTGCCTGTGTCCCTGCCTCTCTCTCTCTTTCTCTGTGTCTCTCATGAATAAATAAATAAAATCTTAAACAAACAAAACACAGAAAAACAAACAGGCTCTTCCAGAAGTGGTAATTGTTTATTCAATTCAATTACATACTGGACGAAAGCCCTGAGGTGGCTGCTGTGTCACTTATAAAGATGAATCACTCACGGAACTGCACCAGGGGTACCAGTCCTGTTGGAGAGATGAGTTATATGGGAGAGGTATGAATAGATGTTATGGGAGAACAGATCTATCTGCTGGTTGATGCTTCAGAGGGAGCTTTATATGGAGGAGGTATGAATTGCTGAGCATTGTGGGAGGACAAGATAGTATTTGACGTGCAGAGAGGAGCAAGAAGGGCATTTACAGGAAAAGGAGTGGTAAGAGCATGGACAGACCAGAGCACAACTAGGTGGAGAGCGGCCAGTTCTTTCGTTTGGTTGCAACATAGGCTCTATGAGTGGGAGGAAAGGGAGATAAGTTTGAGGCCTAATCATGGAAGGCCTTGTACACCCAACTAAGGTTTTAAACTTAGAATATTTTTAGTAGGTTCAATGCTTTACGTGGAGTTACATCAGCAGAGCTGTGCTTTGGGGAAGTTAACCAGACAGCACCATGTGGATGAGAGGGGAAGGGACTGACACCATGGGGACAGCAAGAAGTCGTCTATGATAGGCAAGCAAGAGGCACTAAGTGTAGAAGGCTTGAACAATGGATGCAGCCGTAGGAGTGAATAGGAGGGAACAGGTGCTCCAGACACAACAGAGCCAGACTCTACAGCCTCATCTCAAGGAATATATGTGGCAAGGAAGAGAATGTGTCAGCACATTAAGGCTAAAATGTAATACAAATAGAAATTGGGAATACTGGAGGAGAAGCACTTTTAAGAGAGAAGATGATGAGTTCTATCTTGGGTATATTGAGTATCTGGCTAAACATCGGGCTGGAGAGTACTTAAGGAAATTAGAAATACAGGACAGGGCCTCAGAAAATGGTCAGGTTGGGGATACAGATATGAGCAGTTGTGTGGAAGTGAAAGTTGAGAGGGGATAAGATTGCCCAGGAGAGAGTGAGGAACAGGCAGGGAAGGATTCTGGGACAGAACATTGGGGAATCTTTGCATTTAGGGCATAGGAAGAAAGGGAAGGGCAGAGGAGGAGGAAGGGAAGGAGCACTGTGATGGAAGCAGGAGAACCAGGAGAGTGGAGTATCTCAGAAGTCAAGGGAGGAACATGTTCCCAGAATTGGGTGGTTAAGATGGAGCAGGTGATGGCTTCTGCCTGTGAGAGCAGGGAGCTTAAATGGGAAAAGTAGACCAGGGCCAGACCATGGGAAGTCTTCTAGGGGAGAGAGAATATACATAGTGACTTGATCCTGTCTCTACTACTCATTTTCTGTTTGACTTTGGACAATGCACTTAATTTTTGCCTTAATTTGTGCCTTGGTGTCCTCGCCTGAAAAATGGGTATAATGATTGCATATACCTCATGAGGTGGTCGCATGAGGATCACATATGTGTGTGTTGCTTTGAACAGTGCCTGGCACAAGATAAGTTCTTAATTACTGTTCACTATTATAATTATTTGCCACGCTGAGGAGTTTTGACTGTATCTGTGGGTGATAGGGAGCCATAGAGAGTCTCCAACAAGGGCATTGGCGTGATCTGAAAGCAACCTCCTCCTTCACCCAAGAGCCACTTGGAATCTGAGAATCAGGTAAGATTACTAGAAAAAAGGAAAGTGCTAACTATTGCAGTGATATCAGAGAAGGAGGAGAGATAAGAGGATTGGCTGCCAGGTTCTTGGTGAGCTCTGAGTTTCCGGAGAGTGATGGGAGTGGGGGGTGGAGTACAAGGGGTTGGGGAACACAATGGGTGGTGGGACAACAGAGGACCTGTTCATAGGCTCTTTGAATATTTTGACCATATGAGGTAAGAGAGGATGGTTATTTAGAGGGTAGCGGGGTAGCCTGGTCTCAGGGAGGAAGGAAGACAGAAGAGGCAGCCCAGAGGACAGAATCAAGAGACATTTAGAGTGGGGATGTCCTCTGTGGATGTGGCAGCCTGAAAGGAGAGGTAAAATGTGGGTATGAATTAGATTGTGCCGGCCATTGGTTCAATTGTAAGGAGGATAAGCTGGTCTGGATTTTGGCGGAGGCAAGAAGGGAGCTCATCTGTGGAAGAAGAGCCCCGGTGAACGGGCGGTTGGGAAATCGAGAAAGTTAGAGAAGATTTGGAGTGGGTGTTATTGGGAAAACAGGAGGGAAGGGTCAGATGGAGGCAAACAGAAGGTCTGCCTTGTATCAGCGAAAGTCCAGCCGAGGAGAGCTATCATTGATTTGATAACAAATTGACAACAAATAACTTGTTTATGGCCATTCCCTTGTGCCCTTTGACAGCTGCCAGTGAGGGAAGGCGGATGATACAGGCTTTGGGAGGCCAGTAAAACATCCCTCAAGTGGCTGGCCGGGGACCTACACTGAACAAGGCGGTAAGCCGTAAGAGGACTGTAATAATAGAGACGGAGGAAAGGGAGGGCACAGTAGGAGGAAAGAGACCGGAAGAGGTGAGGGAAGAAGGGGGAAGAGCCCTAAAGATACAAAGGGCTGTAGTCCGAGAGGACAGTTTCAGCTTTCAAGATCTTTGTGGGAGAGCAGCTTCAAATGCTGATGAAGACGGGGGTGGGGTGGGGGGGTTAGGCCTGGAGTAAATGGTTAGATCTTAGTTGTGCATGTGTTTATGAAGGTGTTTTCTGAGTTGCACTTCAAAACTCCTTAAAGAAAATTAACCAGGTAGCATCATGTGGATGAGAAAGAGAGACTGACGATGTAGTGTGAGAAAGAGCTAAGTTCCCCTTACCTCAACAGGAAATCAGTCGAAATTGTCTAGGGTTGATAAATCCAGAAATAGTAGTATATCAGTCTATAAATCTCCTGGGTCAAAGGCGGAGGCCTAAGTGCCCGGCTTTTGCAGATGGATGGTTGTAAAACAAGCAGACCACTTGGGGTTTGATATTTGAAGCAGTCAGGGCATCTTTAGCTCGCGTTTAGGTGTGGCCCGCGTCTGGAGATTCTGTTTGGCCTGGCATCTCTCTTCTGCAGCTGTCTTCTTGCTGCTGGGTATGCGGTGCTTGAAGAGTAGGACCCGGGGAGTCGGTGCTGCTCTCTGATGGGGAAGTGGATTTTCATCTTTGATTAGAATGAGGAAATTACTCTTTTAGTGAATAAACAGGCAGGCTGAAGCCATCCGTAGAGTGCACCAGAGAATGCCAGGTAGGCAGAATGGAAGCAAGGGCTAGAGAACGCAGAGCTCCCAGATTGGAAAAAGACCGAAAGCTGGGGGTGGGAAAGAGTGGGGAGGTGGAGGGAAAGGGAGAGGGGAAGAGAGGTGGAGAGAGGGAGGGAGCATTAAACATCTCTGTCAGTTATTTTCTCCCCATGCACTGGCTCCTTCAGTTTTACTCCCCTACACCCTGAGTGGCTCTGCACCCAGTTACAGTGTGTTGGCAGGGGGAGGGGTGTTGTCCCCGCTGACAAGCAATTCTCTGTGACACCAGCTGGGTGTCCTCCAGTTCAGCTCCATTCAGACATTGATGTAGGAAAGATGTTGGGCTTCAGAGCCAACAGCCAAGGAAGAATTCTTGAGATGCCTTTGGGGCAAAAAAGGTGGTTTTATGAAAGCATGGGGGCAGGGGCAGGGCCTGTGGACAGAAAGAGCTGCAATGGGGTTATTAGGGGTGGCAGTTTATATACTCAAGTTGGGAAGGGGCTGGGGATATCATAAGTCTCTAAGGAATTTTGGAAGCAAAGTTTCCAGGACCTTGAGGGGGCTATCTATTGTTGGGAAAAGGTCATTTATTACTGTCTGATAAAACCTGAGTCATGAGACCCTTCAGATGCTTATCAGTGGTTCAAATGGCTGGGGGATGATTGCCAACAAGTATCTTGGGAGGTAGAGATAAAGGACATTTCCAAAGGGATTTTTATATGTTAAAGAAGGCTTCAGGGTCCTGGGCTAAGATTGCCTTTTGCTCTTAGCAAAATACTAACTTTTAGGCAGCTGAATCCCTAGAGGCACATCACTCTCTGTTTCAGGGACTTGTCAAGGGTTTGTAAATAATAAGGAAATCTAATAATTTTCCTTCTGCTTTGTTTCCCACATCATCACTGTCTACCAGGAGATAGCATCAAATCCCAGAGGTTAAAGGTTCAGTCCTGCAAGACGGCCTCCTCCCCACCCCAACTGCAGATGCCAGTTACCAGCCAGGTTAGCACCCGTGCTTCTGACCGACTGGTTACACATTGGGAGTTCCAGTGATCCGCTTTTTGAGTTATATTAATTTGCTAGACTTCCTCACCAAACTCCTAGAAACGCTTAACTACAGAGAACAAACTGAAGGTCATCAGAGGGGGGGTTGGTGGGGGTGGGTGAAATAGGTGAAGGGGATAAAGTACACTTAACATGATTAGCACCAGGTGATGTATAGAATTGTCGAATCACATATTGTATACCTGAAACTAATATAACACTGCATGTTAACTATACTGGAATTTAAAAAATTCACAAAAATATTGTATGTACTAGATTACTGGTTTATTATAAAAGGATATAACTTAGGAACAGCTAGATGGAAGAGATGCCTAGAGCAAGGAGTGGGGAAGGATACAGAGCTTGCATGCCCTCTCTAAGCATGTAGCCCTCCTGGAATCTCCCAAGTGTTCACCAATTCATAAGCTCTCTGAACCCCATTCTTTTGCTTTTTTATGGAAGCTTCATTACATAGGCATTATTGATTTAAATCATCGGTCATTGGTGATTGGACTCAATCTCCAGCCCCTTTCCCCTTCCCAGAGGTGGAGGAGTAGGTGGGGTTCCTTCCAACCCTCCAATCACATTATTGCTTCCCTCATCCTTAGGTGTGGTTTGCAAAGTAACCTCATTTACATGATAAGACAGCTTCGTGTTCTCCTCACTTAGGAAATTCCAAGTGTTTTAGGAACATTATGCCAGAAATGAGCAAAGACCATATGTATATATTTTATTATAAATCACAGTATCATAACCCTTCATTCCTCTAGAGCTATTGCCTTCTTTCCTCTCTTTCCCAGACTCTTTTGAAAGGCTCTACTTTCTGCCCTCCAGTCCATCCATCAGCCCACTGCAGGCTGGCGTCTTTACTCTTAACTCCCTAAGAGTCTTGTTTCGATCGCCAGTAACCTGCTAGTATTCAGTGAACCTCCATGCCGCGAAGTTGATCCTCATGAAGCCCCTCTAACGTTGGCTTCCTTGGGCTTTCTTTCTATAACTTCTCTGGCTCATTCTTCCTGTTGTTCTTTTCTCCGTTTGTCCCTCCACCCCCATCCCCACCTCAGGATATTTTCATTTAATTTATCTAACAGCATTTGTCTAACAACATAGCACCGACTGTGTACCATTTACTGTGCCAGGTGCAGATGAATACACAACCCTGGGCTCTCCAGGGTGTTCATCTAAAAGTGGGAGGAAGCCTTGCAACAAGTTGGTGAGTGCCATGATCCACTCAAGTGCAGGCTGCGGTGGGGATGCCAGGAAGGAAGCAGTCCATTTTGTCAGACCAGGGGTCAGGTCAAGAGGGGTCAGGAAAATCTTATGCCTGGACCACTCTCCCCACCACTTTGCCTGAGCTATCCTTAATCTCTCGGTGCTCATCTATAAAGTAATATGGCAGTTGTGGAGGTGCATTACTCAGATGTCTTTTTTGCTTTAAGGAGTGCAGTTGACTCGCAGCCTCCAGCTGTTGCTTTTGGATCGGCTATGGAATGTATACTGAGGCACACTTCTGGGCACCCCCAGCCAGTGACTGGGCATGGCAGCAGCAGTAGAGCCCAGCAAGTTCTGCCCAGTGCAGGATTCTACTGGGCAGTCTGTGCTCAAGGGCCCCCCTCTGGCCTGGTTGAGACCTTCCTAAAGTGTAGGCTGTCCTACACTTTAAGGAGCTTCCTCTCAAATCCTCCCTTCGCTCTCTCCTTTCACACCCACATTACCATCTACTCCTGCACTCCTCCCTTTTCCCCCACTGAATCACTTGCAATACTAATTGTTTTGGCATTTGAACCTAACACAGGGCTAGGACAGGACTGTGCCATAGAGTGCTGTTGTGAGAATTCAGTGAGTTAATATATGGGAAATGCTTAGAGAAGGTCCTGATACACAGCAAGTGTTATGCTATTGTTGTTGTTAGCTATTGTTATTATTATTATTGTTTTATTATCCTTTAGATATCAACTTCTATTTTACTCTCTCAAGAAACCTCAGATCTGCCAAGCGCATCTTGTCCTTAATTCTGTTCCATTGCTTTTTCTTGTTGGCCTTCACACTTAGATGGTGAATTCAATGAATAATGGAACATTGCTGGGTTTACTGTTGTTTATCAGTGCCTAACATTGTGTCTGACTCGTAGTAGATATTGAATTGATGTTTCTTGAATGAAAAATGATTCAGCTAAGTATTAACAGATGAGCATTATTTGTCAAATGGATTAGGGCTGGAAGAAAGGAATTGTTGAGAGAATTGTCTACTGTGGTGTGAAAAGCCTGTACTGTGAATTGTGTACTGAAAGCTGCTAGTTATGATTGAAAAATAGGGTGCAAGAGAGATGTGGCAAGAAAGAAGCCTAAGGAGTAAGTCAAGGGCCAGACCTCTGGGAAGGCCTGAATGCCAAGCCAGAGATTTTGAATGGCAGAGTCACCTCATGCAGGTGTCATGCAGGTGTCACCCAGGCCTTCCGATGTCCTAGTGGGCTCACATCCATCTTTGTTAGTGGTTATGTGCTTACGAATCATATATTACTTCACCCAACACTAAAGATTGCCCCCCAAATGGTGGCTCTTTCTCTAGAACTACATGAAGAAATGTGGGCATCTTTGAACACTTATTTTATTTTATTTTAATTTTTATTTTATTTATTTATTTATGATAGTCACAGAGAGAGAGAGAGGCAGAGACATAGGCAGAGGGAGAAGCAGGCTCCATGCACCGGGAGCCCAACGTGGGATTCGATCCTGGGTCTCCAGGATCGCGCCCTGGGCCAAAGGCAGGCACCAAACCACTGCGCCACCCAGGGATCCCTGAACACTTATTTTAACAAGGCATCTTAATTGGTCTTTATTTACAAACTGCTTTTTTTTTTAAGATTTTATTTATTTATTAGAGAGAGAGAGAGAGAGAGAGACAGAGGGAGAAGCAGGCTCCATGCAGGGAGCCTGATGTGAGACTCGATCCCAGGTCTCCAGGATCACACCCTGGGCGGAAGGCGGCGCTAAACCACTAAGCCACCAGGGCTGCCCTACAAACTGCTTTGGCTGCTCTATTTCACCCAAACAGCTGGGTCTCTTAACTGGTCTCTTTGCCTTCCTCAAAGCCCTGTTAAATATACCTTCTACTCCCACCGTGAGACAGATCTCTCTAAAGCTAAATCTGTTCATCTTACTCCTTAATTTAATACTTCCCAATAATAGCAACAAGATAATGTCCAGATTCCTTAGTGTGGTCCACAAGGACCATCATGGTCTGAGCCTTTCCTGCCTCTCTATGCTCAGTACCGCACCGTGCTGAACTGCTTGTAGGCATCAGGAAGTTACGCTGCTCACCACTTCGTTCATGTACACACTACTGCTGCCTGGAATGCCCTTCATCGGGGTCTACTTTTTGAACTCTTACAGGAATTAGTTCCAAAATCAATGCGTCTGTGAAGCCATTTCTAACTTTGTAGGCAGTGGTCATACTCCTTTGCAGCCTCATTAGACTGCGTGTATATTGCTATGGCACTCACCTCACTGCATTGCACTCGTCTGGTTACCTCCGATCCCCTCTCTAGACTGTGGCTCCTTGAGCATTAGTGACTATGGAGTCCCCAACATCTGGTGCAATGCCTGACATATAGTATATACTCAGTAGATAATTGGTTAAAGAGAAAAGGACAAAATGAAATAAAAGCCGTTCTCTTTCTTTTGAAGGGGAAGGAGGTCCCCTCACCATGTGGTGGTCCCTGGTGGCCCTCGTGGGCCTGTACTACCTCCTGCGCTGGTACCGGGAGAGACAGGTGGTGAGCCACCTCCAGGACAAGTACGTCTTCATCACGGGCTGTGACTCGGGCTTCGGGAACCTGCTGGCCAGGCAGCTGGACCTGCGAGGCTTGAGGGTGCTGGCTGCATGTCTGACGGAGAAGGGGGCCCAGCAGCTAAGAAGCCAGACGTCAGACAGGCTGGACACGGTGATCCTGGATGTCACCAAGACAGAAAGCATTTTGGCAGCCACCCAGTGGGTGGAGGAGCGTGTGGGGGACAGAGGTATGGAGAAGTATTTTCTCCTTTTATTTACTTGGGCATGAAGATGTTAAAATTTTCTCTCTATATATAAAATCTCAAAAGCAGGGCTTAAAAGACAGCAGGCTGTCTTTTTCATTCGAAAGATGATTGTGCTCTTTGGTAGTGTTTCATTTCCTTAACAATGTTTACCTTAAAAAATGAGCCAAATAGATTTGAAGCTATTATTTCACCTTGTCAGTGGGGTATTTATAACATAGTTATTTATGTTTAAACAATTTTCAAGGTATTCTTAAGAAACTGATTCTTTCCCCCTTTGCTACCATTTAAAATATAGTCATTCCTGGGCCCCTGGATGGCTCAGTCAGTGAAGAGTCCAAATTTGGCTGAGGTCATGATCCCAGGTCCTGGGATTGAGTCTCGTGTTGGTCTCCCTGCTTGTTGGGGAATCTGCTTCTCCCTCTCTGTTTGCTCCTCCCATTGCTTTACTCTCTCTCTCAAATTAAAAAAAAAATATATATATATAATATATACATATATTTAGAAATACATAGTCATTCTTTGAAGTCAGCCTTTTGGTCCATTTCTTTCTAAAAAATATTTTTTTTCTGATCGATAGACTGTATTTCTTAGAGATATTGTAGATTGACAGAAAAATTCAAAGTGAGTACACAGTTCCCATTTATAACCCCTCTTACAGTTTCCTCTGTTATTAACATCTTACATTGGTGTGATACGTTTATTACATTTGATGAGCCAATATTAATATGTTATCATTAACTAAAGTCCATAGTTTACATTAGGGTCCACTTTGTATTGTACAATTCTGTGGGTTTTGCTGAATGTCAAATAACATGTATCCACCATATAGTATGATATAGAATAGTTTCACTGCCCTAAGATCCTGTGTTCCACCTGGTTGCCATCTGTGCCCTCCAACCCCCATGAATCCTGGCAATTACTCATCTTTTTCCTGTCTGCGTAGTTTTGCCTTTTCCTGAATGTCATGTAGTTGGAATCACATTGTATATATGGCCTTTTAAAATGGCTTCTTGCAACTAGCAACATGCATTTCAGCTTCCTACTTGTCTTTCTGTGGCTTGATAGCTCATTTCTTTTTATTACTGAATAATATTCCACTGTATGTATAGCAGTTTTTTGTCATTCACCTCCTGAAGGACATCTTGGTTGTTTACAGTTTTTGGCAATTGTGGATGAGTCTTCACTTTTTTTTTTTTAAGATTTTATTTATGTATTTGAGAGAGGAGAGAGCAGGAACAGGGACAAGGGCAGAGGGAGGAACAGACTCCCCACTGAGCAGGGAACCCATGTCAGGGCTCTATCCCAGGACCCCTGGGATCATGACCAGAGCTGAAGGCAGACACTGAACTGACTGAGCCACCCAAGCACCCCACGAGTCTTCACTTCTAAGTTTAATTTTTATCCAGATCCTCTTCATTCCCCTTCCTGTCTCTCCCTCTTGTTTTCTGAATCCATAGATTTTGTTAATTGACCTTCCTAAACCTCTCTTCACCCCAGGAGTTGCAGACTAGCAATAACATTGTTTTGTTGGGTTGCAGGAGATTTAATATTTTAAAAAATTGACTTGAAAGTTGACTTCAACATATTATATCCTCTCTGAGGATGTATCCCAGGCAGAGTCAGGAATTCTGGGGAGTTACAGCCTCTGTGCTGTGCCTTGCAGTTTATTTCTGTTGTATTGTTACTGGTTTCCCATCTGTTAGAGTGTGAGCTACCTTGAAGACACGGGCTTTCCTTACCCATTATTGTATTTCCAGTTTCTGGCATATTCTCTGGTACCTGTTAAGGGCTCAACAAATGCTGAATAGATCCTATCTACTCATAGTTGTTTGTTTGTTTGTTTTTTAAGATTTTATTTATTTTATTCATGAGGGACACAGAAAGAGAAGCAGAGACACAGGCAGAGGGAGAAGCAGGCCCCCTGCAGGGAGCCTGATGCAGGACCCGATCCCAGGACCCCAGGATTACGCCCTGAGCCAAAGGCAGATGCTCAACCACTGAGCCACTCAGGTGTCCTGAAGAAACTATTTTTTATTAGAATCCCTACCTTAGGTGGGCCCTGGACTTCATATCTTATTGAGGCTATAAATACTGAAACCCGTATTCACATTGGTTGGCAAATTCCCTCAAATCAAAGCTGGTATCAGTGTCCTCTTTATTGTTTCTGGATTCCCGCCCTTTCTTAGTTTTTGGCTTGACCTTTCTATACTTTCTTTTTTTGTTTGTTTTTTTTAATATTTTTTTAATTTTTATTTATTTATGATAGTCACAGAGAGAGAGCTAGAGAGAGAGGCAGAGACATAGGCAGAGGGAGAAGCAGGCTCCATGCGCTGGGAGCCCGACGTGGGATTCGATCCCCAGTCTCCAGGATCGTGCCCTGGGCCAAAGGCAGGCGCCAAACTGCTGCGCCACCCAGGGATCCCTATACTTTCTTGTTACAAACTGATGGACTCAGAAACATTAGAGAATATATATATATATTTTTTAAAGATTTTTTTATTTACTTATAGAGAGAGAGAGAGAGAAAGAGAGAGGGAGAGACACAGGCAGAGGGAGAAGCAGGCTCCATGCAGGGAGCCTGACATGGGACTTGATCCCGGGTCTCCAGGATCCCACCCCGGGCTGCAGGCAGCACTAAACCGCTGTGCCACAGGGGCTGCCCTAGAGAATATATTTTGTCTAACATTTTTTTAGTTGTCAGCAGGAAGATTGATTAAGGTAAAAAGTTTGTCAGTTTTGTTTGAAACTGAACTTCTGCTTTGACTTTGTTCTAGGTCTCTGGGGCCTGGTCAACAATGCAGGCATTTTTCACCCACATTGCTACAGCGAGTGGCTGAAGATAGAGGCCTATGTGGATGTCTTCAAAGTGAACCTCACTGGTTTGATTGAAGTGACCTTAAGCATGCTTCCCTTGCTGAGGAGAGCACGGGGGAGGATTGTTAACGTCTCCAGCATTCTGGGAAGACTTGCTTTCTTTGGAGGAGCCTACTGTAGCTCCAAGTACGGAGTAGAAGCCTTTTCAGATACTCTGAGGTAATGCTCTTAAGTTAAAACAAAAGCATCTCTTGAGCACTTAAATATGTTTAAGCCATTGCGCTGATTGCTTTCACCTACGTTATCCCGTTTCATTACTCTAAAAATCTTGATTTGTAGATATTATTACTAGTCTGTTTTATATAGGAGACTGAGGCTCATGGGCACCTCGGTGGCTCAATCAGTTGAACGTCTGCCTTCGGCTCAGGTTGTGATCCCAGGGTCCTGGGATTTAGCCTTTCCCTCTGCCTGCCACTCCCGCTGCATGTGCTCTCCCTCTTTCTCTGTCAAATAGATAAACAAAGTCTTAAAAAAAAAAAAAAAAAAAAAGGAAACTGAGGCTCAGATTTAAATCTCTTTTCCCAAGTTCACCTGCCACAACCAGGGTTTGGCATAACTGTGTTTCGACCCTAGGTCTTTGTCTCCTGCCACCGATCACACTTTAATTCTCAAGATTTATCTTTGATGAAATTTCATTTCTGAAGAGAAGGTGACTGTCCTCCTTCCTCCTTAACGTGAGCCTGGCCTTGTCTCTCCCTGGTGAGACTCTCTCTCTCTCTCTCTAGCCGCTCATCTCCTTACTCTGTATATCTTTTCTTTTTTTTTTTTTGTATATCTTTTCTTTATCTAAGAACTTCTTTTCTTAGGACTTCAGTTCACCACAGCCCTTAATTGGCCCTGCCTCTACCTCCTGGCTTTTTTTCAGGCAGTGTTTTAGCTTCATGTTGCTCTGTCAGCTTCTTCCTTTTTATATTTCCCTTTACATTTTCATTCCCAAGAGAGACGACTCTATCAGCTGTGTTTATTTTCTGTGTGTGCCAAGTGACCTCTTACGTGACATTTTTGTGTACTTATTGTTGTGCCAGACACTGTTGTAGGTACTTGACATCTAACAGGTCATTTAATTTTCACAGCAACCCAATGAGGAAGGTATTATTTGTATCTTTATTGTAGGTGTGAGGAAACTGGGGCACAGAGGTTAGTAAGTCTTCATAGTCATAACACAGGTAATAACAGGCAGAGCCATCCCGTCCCAGGCAGGGCTTTCCTCCCCATCCAGTACCTTCCCTGGTCCAGTTAGCTGTGGACATGATGGTGTAGTCACATGGCACGAAATATTGCTGCTTAGTCTCCCCATTAGTGGGGGCTGACTTTAGGGCAGTTACTTGGAAATGAGCTGTGAATATTTTTAGGCACTATGGATTAGCTTCCTATAGCTGTTGTAACTTTTTTTTAAGACTTAATTTTTTTAGGGATGCCTGGGTGGCTCAGTGGTTTAGCGCTGCCTTCAGCCCAGGTCGTGATCCTGGAGTCCTCGGATCGAGCCCCATGTCAGGCTCCCTGCATGGAGCCTGCTTCTCCCCCTGCCTGTGTCTGTGCCTCTCTCTCTCTCTCTCTCTCTCTCTCTCTCTCATGAATGAATAAATATAATCTTTAAAAAAAAAAAAAGACTTAATTTTTTTAGGTAATCTCCATACCCAACGTGGGGCTTGAACTCACAACCCCAAGATCAAGAATCGCATGCTCTACCGACTGAGCCAGCCAGGTGTCCCATACACATTGAAAGCAACACGTATTTGTTTCCTCACAGTTCTGGAGGCCAAAGTCTGAAATCAGTGTTACTGGGCCAAAATCACGTTGTTGTCAGGGCCAGGTGCCTTCTGAAGGCTCTCGGGGAGAATCTGTTCCTTGCCTCTTCCAGTTTCTGGTGGCTTTCAGCATTCCTTGGCTTGTGACTACATCACTCCAGTCTCTGCCTCCAAGGTCACATTGCCTTCTCATCCCCTATGGGCTTTCAGATCTGCCTCTGTGTCGCTTATAAGGATAGTTGTGATTGCACTAAGGGCACACCCAAATTATCTAGCATAATCTCCCTATCTCAAGATGCTTAATTTAATTAATCACAACTGTGAAGTGCCACATAGGGTGACATTTATAGGTTCCAGGGATCTCTGGGGGCCGTTACTGAGCCACCATGTGCCATAACTGGTAGATATGTCTTATAACACGCACATTGTACTATCTGCCTAGGAAGAGAATAGGGAAATACCTGAGGAAGTCATGTGAGTCGTCACCGTGTAGCAGGCACCTTGCCTGGCCTGCAGCCTAACTGACGTTCTGCCTGCCCCCACGTGGCTGCTCCTGCTGGTTTACCACCACTCATGACTGGTGTCTCTGGACCCCTTGACTCATTCGCAGACCAAGAGCAAAGAATGTCCTTCCAGTGTTCAAATCACAAATTCCTTTAGAAAATTGCAATGTGCCTTAATTGTGCTAAGGCGGAACAGGGAAAGGAAGTTCTGTCCCACATTTGAGTTGGAGTTTTAAAGGGAATGTAGATGTTGTGGTGTGATGGGGATCACAGTGAGGAAGCTGCAAGGGGAAGTGAAATCTTAGGGCAGAGGTGCCACTGGCTTGCATAGCCGTCTCTTCTCCAGCAGGAGGATCTTTCACTGAGGCTCTACCATGGAAAGTTTTAGGTTTTGCTTTGATAAAGGGAGGCTTTTCCTTTAGAACAGTGGTTTTTAACCTCTAGGATGTCTCAGAGCCACTTGGATGGCTTATTCAAACAGATTGTCGGGTCTCACCCCCAGAGTTTCTGACTTTATAAATCTAGACTAGAGCCCAATAATTTGTATTTCTAACAGGCTCCCAGATGCTGGTGTTGCCATTTATTTGGGGACCACACTTTGAGGACCAGTCACTCACTGCTTAGAGGGTCATGATGCTTTGTGTTTTACCTTCTTATGGACTATTATTTCAGACATTTCTCTTTTTTAAAAAAAGAGATTTATTTATTTATTCACGAGAGACACACACAGAGAGGCAGAGACACAGGCAGAGGGAGAAGTAGACTCCTCATGGGGAGCCCGATGCAGGACTCGATCCTGGATCCCGGGATCACGCCCTGAGCCAAAGGCAGACGCTCAACCGCTGAACCACCCAGGTGTTCCTCAAACATTTCTTCTTGATATCAGCTTGGGCTTCACCTTCTCCAGTGAGGCTACTTGAACCTCTAGATTAGGGAGCACCCCTCATCACTGTCTCCTAAACACCTAGAGGATACCTCCACTGTGGTCACGATGCCATCTTCCTTCACTTGGTGAAGGCAGCACCTAGCCCCATACCTGCTACTACATACTCAGCCCCTGATAAATATTTTGGAACTGTTTGTTGAACTAACCTGAGTATTCTAGAGCGACCAGTGACTTGTAATCTTAATGCCCATGTTATATTCCACTAATGGTCTCTTGTAGACTTTGAATATATGGTGATTTTTCAGAAGCCCATGCTCTTGTGGATATGATTCCACTACTTGGTATTATGTTCATCCCCTTTCTTTACTCAGAAATTCCCTCTTTATCCTTCAAGGCTCTACTGAAACATTCTCTCCTCACTGAAGCCTTCTCTGACTCCCTCAGAAATCTGTCTGCCTCCTCCTCTCTACTTATATAGCCCCTCGAATACCTCTCCTTTATAATTCTTTTGAGTTGTATGACAATTATTTGCTTACTTGTTGGACTTGCCCACTGTAAGCTTTTTGAGGCAAGCAACTGAGTGTTAATTTTCTGAGATCATGCATGTGAAATACTTAGCACAATACCTGTCATAAGAATGCTAACTTTCTTTATTATTCCTTGTATTCTTCGTGGTTCTACATCTAATACATGGCAGGTACTTAATAACTCTGAAAAGAGTGGATGTAGAATTGAATGGTTATGGTAGTTTGTATGATCATGTCCCAATTTGTTGGACCTAGAGATACTAAAAAAATTTTTTTCCTCTCCATTTCTTTATCCTTTAAAATATTCAGTAGAGATGTTTTTATAAACTTGTTCTTTTTTGTTTTCCTCCCTGAGAGCGTTGAAATTGTGGTGTCTTTCAATCAAAAGAGTTAAATCGAGGGTTTTTATTTTCAGGCGTGAGCTTCGACATTTTGGGGTGAAGATCAGCATAGTTGAACCCGGCTACTTCAGGACCGGAATGACACATGTGGCGTGGTGCCTAGAGAGACTAAAGCAAGCCTGGGAAGAAGTCCCCACACATATTAAGGAAGCCTATGGACAGAAGTTCTTTGATGCTCGTGAGCTTTTTTTTTGGATAGGATAATAGATAACCTTGCATGAGAAGGGGAAAAGAGGGTTGGTGAGAATGATTGGCAGGTCCTCTGAGAGCAGAGGTCCTTAAGCAAAACCTTCCCAGGACAGGAGGGGTTTGGGAAAGTCCCAGTGCTCTCATGGTTGTTGGTGATGGCTGCCATGGCTGAGGAAGAGGTTATATAGATAGCCAAGGACCAAGGCTTGTGCTGCTTTGTCACCTGTGGGCCTGGCCACCTGAGCAGGAGGGAGGGATTACATGGTTAGAGGCATGGTACCTCTGGATCTTGTGTGCCCCTCTGTAGTTTGGTGGGGCTGGTGTGGGAGGCCTGCACAACTAAAGTCCAGCCTTCAGTATTGTCTACCCTTTTGGTAACAAAGGGCCCAACCACAAACTCCATGTCTTATTGTAGGAAGAGGAACGCTGTGTGTGGGCAGAGGGAAGTGGGTTAGGGCTAGCTTTGCAGGGCCTTATTGACTGTGTCCAGAGACTAGACATCATATGCAGGTCCCAGGAGCTTCATTGGAGTGAGATGGTTCAATTTCTTGTAAGAATGTCATTCTTATGACCTGGAAGAGAAGGCAGTTTGGGAGTGGGTGCAAGGCAGTCGTCTTCATAGAAATAAGTTAGGCACATTGGTGTGGGGTTCCATCTTCCTGGGAGAAGCAATGCTTTTTCTTCACACAGAGAAGTCAACAACTTGCCAAGGCCAAATGGAGCAGCTCTCCTTTCATAAAGGGACCCTGTGATGGGTAGGGTAGCAGCAGCCTTGTCGCTGGCTTTGAGTGGTATTGTCATCCAGCGAAAAGGAGGTAGACAGAAGTCGAACAGAAGACTCCTGACCTGCAGCACTGTCTTCTGGGCGCATACGGCCCAAGAGCGTCACCATTAGCACAGGGGAGAAAAAGTGGATCAGGAAAAAGCTGGCACAAAACAGTGCCTGAGCTTTTCAGAACTCGCTAGGGAACTGTTCCCAGCATGCCAGGGCCAGCCATAGCTGTAAACTCTTCCCCATCTAAGGTTTTAAACTGTGTATTGGGAATTTTTCCCCCTCTGGATACATACAGTTTGATGATAGAAATTAAGAGGAAAATAGAATTTATTATAGTGGCTATACATGAAAGTATATATAGATATAAAAAGATATATATATATTTCATAATTTAAAAGGAGTTGAAAAAAAAATAAATAAAAGGAGTTGAAATGTTCATAGAGTTGTCATGGATCAGGATAATTTACAGTGCTATCCAATAGAAATATAACGAGAGCCGTATATGTAATCTTAAATTTTCTAGTTGCCACTTCAAAAGAAGGAAACAAGTGAAATTAATTAATTCTAATCCAGTTTATTTAATTGTACATATCCAAAATACTATCATTTCAGTATTTATTATCAATATAAAGTTGTTAAGGTATTTTATATTCTTTTTTCTTATTAGTCTTTGAAAATCGGTGCATATTTTACATTTACAGCATATTTCAACTTGGATGCTAAATTTTCCTAGGAAATACTTCATCTATAGATTAAGAAAATTTAGAGTTGCCAGCAGTATTATTCATAATATCTCAAAAGCAGAAACTACTTAAATGTCCATCAACTGATGAATGGGTACGCAAAAGACAGTAGTCATACAATAGGATATTATTTGGCAATAAAAAGGAATGAAGTACTGATACATGCTACAGCCTGGAAGAGGCTTGAGAACATTTGGCTTGAGAACGTTTTGCTTAGTGAAAAGAAGCCAGTCCCAAAGGATTACAATGTGTAATTCTATGTATATGAAAGGTCCAGAAAAGGCAATCCACAGAGACTGCAACCCTACAGCTGGGTTGGTGATGCTGATAGGTATAAGTTTTCTTCTGGGGATAGTAAGAATGTTCTAAACTTAGATTGTGGTGATGTTGCATAACTCTGAATATACTAAAAGCCATTGATTTCACTTTAAATGGCTGAATTTTGGGATGCCTGGGTGGCTCAGCAGTTGGGTATCTGCCTTTGGCTCAGGGTTTGATCCCGGGATGTGGGATCAAGTTCCGCATCGGGCTCCCTGCAGGGAACCTGCTTCTCCCTCTCTCTGTGTCTCTTATGAATAAATAAATAAATCTTTAAAAAAAATAAATAAATGGCTGAATTTTATGGTATATTAATTATATCTCACCAGGATTTAAAAACTTTCCAGTTGCAAAGGTAGATTCACATATCTCTGTTATTCCAAAAATACTAAAACATTTTCCAACAATGGATTTGAGTTTTAAAATTAAAATTTTTAAATTCCATTTTTAGTTATACTAGCTATATTTTAAGTTCAGTAACTACATTTGGCTAGTGGCTGTCACTGGGAAGCATAGATCTAATCAGCCTAATCCTTGTAGAAATAAAATGTAGTTAGACTTCTATGAGCGTATAACAGGATCTTAACATTAAAATGCAAGGATTGGGACGCCTGGGTGGCTCAATTGGTTAAGTGTCTTTTGGTTCAGGTTGTGACTTCAGGGTCCTGGAATGGAGCCCCTGTCCTGGGATGGGCTCCCTGTGCTCAGCAGAGAGTCTGCTTCTCCTTCCTCAGCCCCTGTCCCCCACTTATCCTCTCTCTCTCTCAGATAAATAAATAAAATCTTAAAAACCCAAAACCACAGGGAGTAAGATCGTTAACCGTCATTTCTCTTTTTGTATACAGATCACAATGGCGTCAAACAAGGGCTCTTGAAATGTAGCACAAACTTGAACCTGGTCACTGACTGCATGGAACATGCTTTGACATCTGTGCATCCCCGCACTCGATATTCAGCTGGTTGGGATTCTCAGTTTTTCTTCATTCCTTTATCTTATTTGCCTACATCACTGGCAGACTACATATTGACGAGATCCTGGCCCAAACCAGCCCAAGCAGTCTAAGAAAACTAGTTTGATGGCTCTTGAAATGAAGAAGAGGGGGATCCCTGGGTGGCACAGCGGTTTGGCGCCTGCCTTTGGCCCAGGGCGCGATCCTGGAGACCCGGGATCCAATCCCACGTCGGGCTGCCGGTGCATGGAGCCTGCTTCTCCCTCTGCCTGTGTCTCTGCCTCTCTCTCTCTCTCTCTGTGTGACTATCGTAAATAAAAAAAAAAAAAAAAAAAAAAAAGAAATGAAGAAGAGGGAAGTCTGAAATTGATCATTAGTATCTCAGTAATCCTTATTTGGAATTAACATGTTTATATTCTAGATATCCAAAGCTTTTTCCTTTAGGGAATAAATTTTTACTGTTTTAAGCATTTTTTCATTAGAATATTTCCAAATACATCATTTTTCTTTGCCTGTTAAACAGAGTGGACTGAAAACAATTGAACTTGTTTTAATATTATTTCTTTACAAAAATGACTAGTTTTCCTGTGCAATTATACACTATTGCTTGAGGACTATTGAGAAATATATGGGCCTGTTTATTTGAAATGGATCTGTACTATGGTACTTTAAATAAATATTTCATTTATTTAAATGAAATATTTCTGCCTTCTCTCTGTTGCCAGCTATTTTTGAGGATGTTTCTTCTTTGTTTAAAAATAAGTGGTTTTTAATGTTTTTCATTAAAATAATATACACAGGGGATCCCTGGGTGGCTCAGCGGTTTGGCGCCTGCCTTTGGCCCAGGGCACGATCCTGGAGTCCGGGGATCGAGTCCTGCGTTGGGCTCTTGGCATGGAGCCTGCTTCTCCTTCCTCATGTGTCTCTGCCTCTCTCTCTCTATTGTCTATCGTGAATAAATAAATAAAATCTAAAATATACACAAACACACATAGTGAAATGTTCAGCTAACATTCAAACGCTTAAAAAAAAAGCCAGCAGTTCCCAACCCTTCATTGCTGCTCCTCAGAGGTAAATGCTTTTAACTTTTAGCTACTTCTTCTGGTAGTAATCTCTGTATTTGTAAATAATATACTGTTACTTCTTGATTTATTAAGTTTAGACATTCTCAGTTGATTTCTTGTTAAGGAAAATCCTGTTGATTTTTCCTATTACCTTATTTATACCACTTTCCTGGCTGTTTCCTATATTTCCATATTTTTAATAAAGTTTTATCTTATTTTCAGTCAAATTAATAGTGTTGACTTTGTTAAGTATGTGACTATTGCGTACTGTTTAGTCAAGTATTTTTCCTTTATAGTACCATGATTTTTTTGGTTGTTTTTCTGAGAGTTCCTCATTGCCTTGGTTTTTTACTTGCACTGTTTTTATTTTTTACTTTTGGTTGTCCCAGATGTCAAAACACTATCAGTAGTATTTTTTAGACAGTTAAACATATTATAGAATTATCTATTGCATTTCAACAGATCAAATACAGGGTCATACTTTGATTTAGTTGTTATCTCCCTGTACTCTCATTTAACCTATAATAGCTTCTTAACTGAAAACAAAAACAAAAACAAAAAAACAAAAAAACAACTTTTATGATACTGATATTTTTGAAGAGTACTAGTTATTTTGTAAAGCATCCCCCCCATTTGGATTGTATGGCCTGTCCTCATGATCAGATTCAGGTTATGCATTTTGGCAAAAATGCCACAGAGGTAATATTGTGTCCCTCTCCGTGCATCATATCAGTGGTCATAGATGTCAGTTTATCTCATTATTGGTGATGTTAAGTTTGAACCCTTGGTTAAAACAGAGTCTGCCAAGTTTCTCCACTATAAAGTTAATTTTTTTCTTTTGTAATTAATAGGTAATTTGTAAGGATATTTTGAGATTATATAAATATCCTGTTCCTCATCAAACTTTTACCTACTAATTTTATAATTATTAATGATTCTTTTTAAAATCAGTTATTACTGTGATGATTACAAATGGTGATTTTTAACTCCCTCATTCCATCTACAACTTGAAATTTCCATCTCCTTTATTTTTTAATTTATTATAAGAATGGACTCATGGATTCTTATTTAATTAGTTATAAGCCATTGTTGTCATTATGTGTTTCATATTTTTAGAATTCTTATACCCGTACAACTTTTTAAAAAATCTACCAGATGGAGTTTAATATTTATGTGTGTGTGTGTGTTTGTCTTTAAACAGAAAATATATAGTCAAAGTACTCCTTGCAAACATTAGATTTTTTTCTTCATTCAGTGTATTCTTATTATTCATTCAAAACACAGTTTGGTGTATTTCTTTCCTGTTAGTATTTAATTTACCTTTTTTCCCCCTGCAAGCTCATTGATTTCATTTTTTAATTAATTAATTAATTAATTAATTAATTAATTTATTTAAGAGAGAGCATGAGTGGAGTGGGGGGAGGGGCAGAGGAAGACGGGGAAGCAGCCTCCCCACTGAACAGGCTCCATCCCAGGACTCTGAGATCATGACCTGAGCTGAAGGCTTAGTGCTTCAGTAACTGAGCCACCCGGCTGCCCTGATTCTATTTTTTGAATATGTAAAACATTAACATGATTCTAAATTCAAACCTGGTTTATATTGAAGGAAATCTCAGACATTATATAGGAACTGTAATATAAAAAGCTATCATTTGCAACAGCAACAAAAAAAATATAAGGTACCTAGGAATAAATCTAACAGAAGATATGCAATGCCTTCACTTAGGAAATTATAAAATTTTATTGCAAGACATTAAAGAAAGCCTAAATAAATGTAAAATGTAAATACATACCATCACTATGAATAGGGAGTCTCAATATCAGAAAAAGATATATCAGTTTCTTCCAAATAACTTATAAATCCAATCCAGTTAAAATTCCAACAGCATTTTATTCAAATTAAAAAGCTGGTTTTCAAATTTAATAGTAAGAGCAAAAAGGTATGCACTACCAAGAGACTTTTGAAGAACAAGATAAAGGAAACTTGCCTCCTCTGAGCATTAGACTTACTATAAAAATAATATGAACAAATATATGCAAAGCAAAGATAGACCAATAGATGTAAAGAGCTGAAAAAAAGGGGGGGGCACCTGGGTGGCTCAGTGATTGAGCATTTGCCTCTGGCTCAGGTCGTGATCCTGGGGTCCTGGGATTGAGTCCTGCATCAGGCTCCCCATAGGGAGCCTGCTTCTCCCTCTGCCTCTGCCTCTCTATGTCTCTCATGAATAAATAAATAAAATCTTAAACAAAAAAAAAATGTAAAGAGCTGAGTGGAAGGATTTGGGTTAAAATAGTGGAGTAGTAGGACCCTCTATTTACCTCATCCCTAGAACATAGTTAGACAAATATCAAATCATTCTGAATACCCAGGAAATCAATCTCAGGAGTGAGAGAACAAATTGCACAACCAGGAGAAAAGAGGCCACACTGTGGAAGGTAGGAGATGCTGAGACATGATTTGGGGGAGAAAACAATCACTGTTGCTGCAGAGAGAAGGGTGTCCTGATCAGGGAGAGAGGGGAGAGTGACAAAGAGAGAACAGAGCTCAGGGCATTGCACAAGAAAAACACTTCCCCAAAACCACTGATGGGGAAAATGGAAGGGGCTGAGTATTGCAAGTTTTTACAAGCAGCAGAGCTCAAAGACTAAAGTTTTAGAAGTCTGCACATCGCTGGGTGGACCCTGGCAGATATATTGGTACTCCTGTGGAGAAGGATGGGAGAGGCCCAGGAGCGGACGCATGGTTTGAGGATCCCTGGAGTTGCACTGGGAAAAACAGTTCTTCTTGGAGTGCATTTGGGTGAGGTGGCACTGTCTCTCTGGGGGACAAAAGAGCGAGTGCCATTGAGCTGCCCCACTCATTAGCATATGAGTAGAGATGCTAAGGGCAGTTAACCTGGACACCAGCTTTTTTGCTGCACTTTGCCACAAACTCCAAGCTCTGTGCATTCATGTGACTGCCCTTCTAGGACAAATTGGCACCAGCTATAGTGCAGTGAGACTGTCCTCCAGAGAATCAGGGAGTGTCCATGCCTCCCTAGCTCCCTAAAATTTGTGTGTGTGTTTTTTTAAAGGTTTTATTTATTTGACAGAGAGAGGGAGAGAAAGCACAAGTAAGGGGAGCAGCAGGCAGAGGGAGAGGGAGAAGCAATCTCTCTGCACAGGGAGCCTGATGTGGGCTCAATCCCAGGATGCTGGGATCATGACCTGATCTGAAGGCAGATGCTAACCCCCTGAGCCAGCCCGGTGCCCCAAATTTGGAATTTTGAAACCCAGCCAGTGGACCTGAGATAAAATGCAGGAGCACTGCTCTGTTGGGGGAGCAGATAGCTTAGACACAGACAGGGTGAAGGCAGGGATCGAGGGAAGCCTGGGACACATGAGGGGAGATGGTTCACTCTTCTGTGAGGGCTTCCTGAACAGCAGGGGTGTGAACTGCCTCCTTTCCCCACCCCATAGCACTCACAGTGAGGACTTGAGCCAATTATACCAAGCTATGCCCCCTTAACATGGGCAAGGGTGCCTGAGAGAGTAGCAGTGGGTCCTTCCCCCAGAAGACCAGCATAAACCCGCGGGACTCACCAAGTCTGCGAGCAGAGTGCTGCTAAACTTAAGCTCTAGGGGAAATAGAATCTAGCCTCTTTTTTTTTTTTTTAAGATTTTATTTATTCATGAGAGAGAGAGAGAGAGAGAGAGAGAGAGAGGCAGAGACACAGGCAGAGGGAGACGCAGGCTCCATGCAGGGAGCCTGATGTGGGACTTGATCCTGGGTCTCCAGGATCACGCCCTGGGCTGAAGGCAGCGCTAAACTGCCGAGCCACCCGGGCTGCCCTACCAATGTGTTCCTAGGAAACACCCAATTGGATTCAAGGGGAAAAGCTATCTTGGTAAGCTTTGGTCTTCCACAGGCCATGAGACCAGAGAAGACTAACAATGTCAGGGCCCAGGTGACCAATCCAGGTATTGCAGGACTTCCTTACATAGGCGCATGGATCCCTAAGAAGAGTCTATGAACATACAAAAATCTGAGTGTATGGGTTTTCTGGGAAAAGTGCTATTCCCTTCTCATAGACCCAAGAACAGGTTAAGATCCTGAGCTAAAGCAATGGACCAAGCCAATGGCAGGCTAGGTGAAGGATGCCACCAAATACACTTCAGGGGCCAGTCAAGTGTGAGAACTCGCAAAGCTGTCCCCAAAAAGTTAGAACATGGACTCACAGCAGAGACAGCTGAGCACTGTTTTTGTGCTCTTCTTTGTAACTATTTCAAGGTCTATCCAAAACAAGGCCCCAGAACCCCCAGGTTCAAGTATGTCCCTGAGCTTGGTCCACTGCCATCTTCCATTCACGTTTGGGTATTCGTTCACCATTAAACCTCAGAACAGAAGATGTGATGCAGCAGGACTCCTTCTATGGCATGAGTCCTCTGCTGATTTGAGAGGTGGCAGTGGCAGGCAATGTGGAAAATACACTGGAATTTTTCCTTGAAACTGCTGTGGTCAGAAGTGCCTGCCAGGAGCATCATCATCTTGTCCTTGACCCTCTCTCTGGTTTCTGAAGATATAGCAGAAAATAATCTTCTTTGAAGATACTGGTAACAATTCCAGAAGACAAAACACATGCCACCAATGCACTGTGCTTCCAGATATTCTGGGTTTAATTTAGCTGCCGAATGAGCTGATTGATGCGTTCACCTCGATAGCCAGGTAAGCCCACCTCCTTGAGGAAGCCCACTCTGTTCTTGGTAGCATGTCGGGCCATTGAGAGGTGGAAAGGACGTAAGAACGCAGAGATGGCCTGGAAATTCTTCCCCGGAAAGGCAATTTCATGAATGAGGTCTTGCAAGCAAATAACACCATACTTCCCCAGATGCTCCTCAATCACTGTGTTGTCCGTCAAAGGGATGGTTTTATTCTTGACCTTGGCTTGTCCACGTTTCAAGATGAGTTCCCGGACAGACTTCAGATTTGGAAATCCCCAGGTCACATAAGGTTCCACTATCCGCAGTGTCTTCATGGTCTGGGGGGTTACTCTGAAAAAGACACCACTGAAGATCTTCTTCAGGCACAGCCTTGCAATGGTCCTCTGTACCAGTGAACTCACCCCATTAATCCTTTGGATGCGTACAATGAAGGCCAAGGAATGTTTATCTGGCACTTCTAAGCCATGAGGTTTCACTTCCAGGCGTGTGAGGCGCACCCTGTCACGCTGCTGCCGCCAGGAATCATGTAGGAACCACTCCAGTCGCTTAAACTTGAGCTTTTTCCCTTTATTCTGCTCCTTCTTGTCCAAAAGCGCCTGCTTTGCTTGAGTGGCTTTAAGGGCCTGATAAGCCTTCCTCTTTTTCAGGAGATTTTCTGGAACCAAAGGGATCTTTTTTCTTTGCACTTGCTCCGCCATGTTTCCCGAGCAGCGGCTACTGCTCATGCCAGAATCTAGCCTCTTAACAAGCAAACCCAAGCGCACCTACTTAGAACTTGCCAACATTGGATAAGGTCCAAATACTCAACACTGCAGGCAAGCAGAAAGAAAATCCTAACTTACAAGGGAAGACAAAGTTAGCAGCAGATCTCTCCACAGAAAGTTGGCAGGCCAGAAGACAGTAGCATGATATATTCAATGTGCTGACTGGCAAAAATAGGCAGCCAAAGATACTTTACCCAGCAAGGCTGTCATTCAGAATAAAAAGAGAGAGAAAGAGTTTCCCAGACAAACAAAAACTAAAGGAGTCTGTGACCACTAAACCATGCTCATGGATTAGAAGAACAAATATTGTGAAAATGTCTATGCTACTAAGAGCAATCTACACATTCAATGCAATCCCTATCAAAATACCATCAACATTTTCCACAGAAAATACAAAATACAATCCTAAAAATTATATGGAACCAGAAAAGATCCCGAATAGCCAAAGGAATGCTGAAAAAGAAAACCAAAGCTGGTGGCATCACAATGCTGGATTTCAAGTTGTCTTACAAAGCTGTGATTCAAGACAACATGGTACTGGCACAAAAACAGACACCTAGATCAATGGAACAGAATAGAGAACCCAGAAATGGACCCTCAACTCTATGGTCAACTCATCTTCAACAAAGCAGGAAGGAATATCCAATGGAAAAAAAGACAGTCTCTTCAACAAATGGTATTTGGAAAATTGGATAGCAATGTGCAGAGGAATGAAACTGGACCATTTTCTTATATTATACACAAAAATAAACTCAAAATGGAAGAAAGACCTAAATGTGAGACCGGAAACCATGGAAATCCTAGAGAACAGGGGCAGCAACATTTTTGACCTCAGCCTTAGCAAATTCTTACTAGACATGTCTCTGGAGGCAAAGGAAACAAAATTGAAAATGAATGATTGGGACTTTATTAAGATAAAAAGCTTCTTGCACAGTGAAGGAAAAAATCAATAAAACTAAAAGGCAACCAACAGGAGAAGATATCTGCAATGACGGAACTGATAAAAGGTTAGTATTGAAAATATATAAAGAACTTATCAAACTCAACACCCAAAACCCAAATAATCCAGTTAAGAAATGGGGAGAAGACATGAATAGACATTTTCCCAAAGAAGACATACAGATGGCTAACAGATACAAAAAAGATGCTCAACATCACTCATTATCAGGGAAAACAAATCAAAACCACAATGAGATACCACCTCACATCAGTTAGAGTGGCTAAAATTAATAACACAGAAAACAACAGATGTTGGTGAGGATGTGGAGAAAAGGGTGGGAATGTGAACTCTTACACTGTTGGTGGGAATGTGAACTGATGCAGCCACTCTGGAAGACTGTATGGAGGCTCCTCAAAGAGTTAAAAGTAGAACTACCTTATGACTCAGGAATTGCACTACTGGGTATTTACCCAAAGGATACAAAAATACTAATTTAGAAGGGGCTCAAGCACCTTGATGTTTACAGCAGCATTATCAACAATAGTCAAATTACAGGGGCAGCTAGCTGGGTGGCTCAGTGGGTTAAGCATCAGCCTTCAACTCAGGTCATGATCCCAAGGTCCTGGGATCCAGCCCTGAGTAGGGCTCCCTGCTCAGCAGGTGGTCTGCTTCTCCCTCTCCTTCTGCCGCTCCTCCTGTTTGTGCTCTCTCTGTCAAATAAATAAATAAAAATCTTTAAAAAAATAATTTAAAAACCCAAAAGTCAAATTATGGAAAGAGCCCAAATGTCCATCGACTGATGAATGGATAAAGAAGGTGTGGTATATATACACAATGAAATACTATTCAGCCATCAAAAAGAACAAAATCTTGCCATTTGCAGTGATGTGCATGGAGCCAGAGTGTATTACGCTAATTGAAATAACTCAGAGGAAGACAAATATTTATGATTTCATCCATATGTGGAACTTTAAAAACAAACAGATTAACATAGAGGAAGAGGCAAAAAAGAGAAGGAGGCAAACCATAAGAGACTTAACTATAGAGAACAAACTGAGGGTTGCTGGAGGGGAGGTGGGTGGGGAATGGGCTAAATGGGTGATGAGTATTAAGAAGGGCACTTGTGATGAGCACTGGGTGTTATATGTAAGTGATGAATCACTAAATTCTACTCCTGAAACCAATGTTATACTATAGATTAAGTAACTAGAATTTAAACAAAACCTTAAAAAAAAAAAGAGCAGATTAGAGAGCTGAGACATGTGGAAGCTTGACACAACAGTATCATAAAAAGGTAGTGGGGAAACAATCTGATAACAAATATTGGAGAATAGTTTTTTTTAAATGGATAATAATAAAATTTGATACCTATTCCATACTACTCACAAAAATGAGTTCCAGAGGAATAAGTACCTAAATGTGAAAAGCAAAACTTTCTAATGATCTAAATAAAACATTGAGAGCATATTTATATGTGTAGGCTAGGGAAGACTCTTTAAATAAGATATATACACAAAAACACAGTCGTAAGGAGGTATTAAGTCTGACTGCAATGAAATTAAGGACTTCTCTATATCATAGGCCAAAAGACAAGCCACCAATTGGAGAGATGTATTTGCATCATAGGTAACCACAAATACACCACAAATTTTTAAAATTAAAATTTTTTCCAGTTTTATTGAGAAATAATTCACATACATGACTGTATAAGTTTAAGGTTTATCGCATGATGGTTGAATTTACATATAGTGTGAGATAATTAACCACAATAGGTTTAGTTAACATCTATCATCTCATATAGATAAAATAAAAAGCAGTCTCCTTGCGTTGAGAACTCTTACGATCTACTCTCTTAATAACTTTCCTATATATTATACAGCAATATTAGCATCATATTTATATTATAGTCTTAGTAGTTATTTATCTTATAACTGGAAGTTTGTACTTTTTTTTTTCATCCAAGGGAGGATATTTAAATTTTAATTATTTTATTTTATTTTAATTCCAGTATAGTTAATATACAGTGTTAAATTAGTTTCAGGTATATAATGCAGTGCTTCAGCAATTCTACATATTACTTAGTGCTCATCAAGATAAATGTACTCTTTTTTAAAAAAGATTTTATTTAGGGATCCCTGGGTGGCGCAGCGGTTTGGCGCCTGCCTTTGGCCTAGGGCGCGATCCTGGAGACCCGGGATCGAGTCCCACATCGGGCTCCCGGTGCATGGAGCCTGCTTCTCCCTCTGCCTGTGTCTCTGGCTTTCTCTCTGTGTGTGTGTGTGTGTGACTATCATAAATACATAAATAAAAAAAAAATTAAAAAAAAATAAATGACCTTTTTAAAAAAAAAAAAAAAGATTTTATTTATTTATTCATGAGAGACACACAGAGACAGGCAGAGACATAGGGAGAGGGAGAAGCAGACTCCTTCCAGGGAGCCTGATGCAGGACTTGATCCCAGGACCCCAGGATCACGCCCTGAGCCGAAGGCAGATGCTCAACCACTGAGCGACCCAGGTGCCCCAAGATAAATGTACTCAGGACTCTTGAGATCCACACTCCAGGCTCCACACTCAACCAGGAGTCTGCTTCTCCTCTTTCTTCCCCTCTGCTCCCCCACCCCCTGCTCATGTACTCTCTCTCTCAAATAAATACATAAATCTTTTTTTTAAAAGATAAATGTAGGGATGCCTGGGTATATATATATACATATAAGTAAATAATCATATAAATAATAATAATTATATATATATACGCAGGCATCCATATATATACATATACCTATATATATAATATTATATATTATATATACATATCTCACAACTTTATCCATTGTTTGTCTTGGCCAATGTCAGTAGTGTTGCTATGAACATGAGGGTGCAGATACCTTTTGCATTAGTATTTTTTTTTTTGCATTAGTATTTTTATGTCTTTTGGATATATTACCAGAAGCGGAATTACTGGGTCATATGGTAGTTTTATTTTTAATTTTTTTGTGGAGCTTTCATGCTGTTTTTCATAGTGGCTATACCAACTTACATTCTCACCAATAGAGCATAAAAATTCCCTTTTCTCCACATCCATGCTAGCTTTTGTTATCTCATATCTTTTTTAATGATAGCCATTCTAACAGGTGTGGGGTGATATCTCATTGTGGTTTTAATTTGCATTTCCCTAGTGACTAGAGATATTGAGGATCTTTTCATGTACCTGTTGGCCATTCATGCATCTTCTTTGGAAAAATGCCTACTCCATTCTTTGCCCATCGTTAAAATTGGATTATTTGTTTTTTTTCTATTGAGTTGAATGAGTTCTTAATATATTTTGGATATTAATTCTTTATCAGATATATGGTTTACAAAATTTTTTTCCATTCAGTGGGTTGTCCTTTCGCTTTGTTGATTTTTTTTTTCTGTGCAGATGCTTTTTAGTTTGATGTAGTCCGACTTATTTATTTTTTTCTGTTGCTTGTGCTTTAGGTGTGACTTCCAAAAAAATCATTTCTAAGACCCATGTCAAGAAGCTTTTTTTCCCTTTGTTTTCTCCTAGGAGTTTCATGGTTTCCATCTTACATTTAAGTCTAATCCATTTCAATTTTATTTTTGTGGGTAGTGTTAGATAAAGGTCCAGTTTCATTCTTTACAAATGAATAGCCAGTTTTCCCAGCACCATTTATTGAAGAAACTGTCTTTTATTCACTGAATATTTATTCATTGAATATTCAGCCAAAAATATTCAAACTAGTTGACTGTTTTTATGTCAGTATCATACTGTTTTATTTTATTATAATTATTTTTTAAGATTTTGTTTATTTATTTGAGAGAGAGAGAGAGCCCAAGCAAGGAGAGCAGCAGAGGAAGAGGGAGAATCAGGCTCCCTACTGAGTAGAGAGCCCAATGTGGGCCTTGATCCCAGGAACCTGAGATCATGACCTGAGCTGAAGGTAAATGTTAACCTACTGAGCCACCCAGGCGTCTCCATATCTTACTGTTTTAAACCCTATAGCTTTATTGTTGAAATCAGAAAGTGTGATGCTTCCTGCTTTGTTTTTCTCAGGATTTGCCATTTTGGGGTCTTTTGTGGTTCCATATATATCACAGAGTTTTACTGTTAAATGGAGAGAATTTGAAATTGTAACCCAGAG